ATAAGCTAGGCACTTGGACACTCTAACAGGGACTAACATGCACACGCGGCTGACACAGCTACACAACAACCCACAGAGAATCTTAGATTACAACACACACAGGCAGCTTGACTTCATTATCTGCTCGGGACACCGTTACTTCACTATATGTTCACATAGCAAATAGTGGTTTGCTGCTGCATGTCACATACAAAGCCTTTAAAGTTTTACCTCACTAAAAAGCTAGAAATGCAATAGAAAATGTTTACAATGGTGACAAAAAAGAGCAAGGAATAAAAAAGCAGTTTCAGTGATGTCAAGCCACACCAAGTTTGTTTCACTTTTACAACATAACTCAGCAAAGAATAATTAGTAGTGGGGATGCACGATAATATCAGCACATCATCAGTATCGGCCAATATCAGCTTTAAAATGAATAGAATCAGAATCAGAAATGGCAGAATTTTCTTATTTTGCACAAGGAATGAACATTACATACATTGAAAAGTGATGTATTTCATGTCTCCATCTGCTGGTGGGCCATCACAATATGACTATGCATGCATAATATGATGTTAATTCCACTACAAAAGAGACTTGACGATCACTAAAATCAGGTTGGCATATTGGCATTAAGGATTTCAGCAAAAAATCCAATATTCTGCATCCCTAATCAGCAGTGAATGAAAACAAGTGCTATATTTTACTGCCAAAATGATTTCTTTCACTGATATTATACTTATTCTTTTACCAATGGTTTAGTTGTAGATCCTCATAAATTCCATAAAATATGTTATTGTTTTTTTACTTATTCATTCATCTTTAATTTGACTAGCCCAAAACACATAAAGAAAGTGGGGTTGTTGTTTAATCAAAATGATTACATTGACTGAATGTACAAAGACTTTTCAGTCACTTATACACATTTTGTCTGCCTTCTGCCACCGCTGAAAGAAGAAATCCTCAAACTTTTTACAGCTGCTTTTAAAGGCCACAGAAGCTGCGTGGATTATCATAGATAATTGTAAGAGCATCGCTTTAGGAAAGAATAACTTCAATGAAAAGGTTTACAATAATGAGAAATCAGAGGATAATAACTGCTCGGTAAAAGCTGTCCGGGCATATGCTTAGAGTGTACTGTGAAAGAACTATCATAAACTAATATCAAGGCTCAGTTTAAAGGAAGGCGGACGAAATCAGAAATGCTTAAATAAAATAGCAACACGGCATGAATCTGACATTAGCTGGCAAACATCAATTCATCCCCCATTCTAACTTTAGTAATGCATTTACTGGAAAGAGATTAATATCAATTCCATAAATCATTCAGGAGATACATCCGGAGCCAGAGACACTGGTATGTTAGCTGATCTCAGTGTGGGAGCTCAGCGCCCATTAATCAATGTCTGAGCTCCTCTGGCCATGTCATCTGGGAAAAAAGGCAAATTTATAAAAAGGGCAATCATCACACTGATATCTCAGCACAATCCTCCTAATGTAACATATTTAGATCTTTACGCCGCGGTACTATATATAGGCCTTATGCTCTCACCTTCATATGCCTCCTGTCGACAGTGTACAAAACTGTGGATTAGATTCCCTATGCCCTTATCTATCCCTTTAGATGTCCACACAGTTTTCCTCTTGTGCATTAATTAGTAGCAGGCCTAGGAATTGTGACAACTGTATTTGTATTCTCTGACTCTTTGAAAATCAAGTGCATCAAATCAACTTTGGAGAACAACTCTGACAGTGGCACCAAGGCCAGACATCAGAAAATAAACAGGGCGAAGTTAAAGCTCATCTTAGTCTGCAGAAACCAAAATGGGCTTGTCTGTGGAAATATGAAATCTGAGTGCCATCTGAATCTAATCTCCACACAGAGATTCTGTCCCAGAAAGACCGGCTGATTCACTGATTTACTCCGCCTACCTCTGTGCTCGAGTGTGTGGGTGTGTGTGTGTGTGTGTGTGTGTGTGTGTGTGCGTGTGTCTAACCAACTGACCTTTGTCAGTGCTAGGAAAGTACTTTCTTTTCCTTGTCCTGCCAAAAAGTGGCAAACAAAGGGCATTAGCAAATGACACTGCAGCATATAAACTTCATCTCACTGTATGTCTGGCTACAACAAAAGAAACTGTCAAGCTAACAGGTCACCCTCCTTTCAAGTGTGCTTCATTTATTTCTCTATTTAGACACACCGGTCATAGTATAGCGAGAACATATAGGCAGAAAGCTGCTGTAAGAAAATAGCTCAAACAACACCTGCTCTAAACATCCTGCGCCGACTTAAAGTGTTTCATAATAAAGATTTTAAGAGCCTAGCACTTGTCTATAAATCGTTATATGAACTTGTCCCTGATTACTGTTGCCAAGATATATCATGGCCTTGATAGAGCTCTCAGATACACACCGACTCATAAACCTGCTTCAACATGAAATTGTTGTTTTCTTTCAATATATAGCACTTTGAATTTCTTCTATTTAAGGTAATACAGACTGTAAATAAAGCTATTATTAGTAGCAGTAGCGGTACTGTTAGTACTAGTCGTGGTAGTAGTGTCAGGGCTTCTATCTTGATTCACAAGTGTTAATGGAGGTGGTTGAAGGTAAAGGTTGGAAAGCATGTCAAAGATTCAAAGGTATAAGAAAGCTGTATTTAACACTGATTTCTTATCATACTAGGTAAATACATTATGAACAAAGACTGGTGGTTGGAACATAGAGCCTGATGAGGTTGGATAAATGAGATAGTGCTAATCCATGCAAAGATTTAAAATGCAAAAGAAGAACCTTAACGTCAGCTCTACTTTGAATAGGCAAAGGCTAGAATTTGTGTACTGCGGTCAAACTTATTTGATCGACATGAAATGAGGATTCTAGCTGCAGTGTTTTGAACAAGCTGGAGGTGTTTGGTGGAAACTTTAGGCTGGTGTAGGTGGCATTAAAATAATCCAGTGCTGATGAAACAAAAGCATTTTTGTTCACCTACAGACAAGATGGGATGGATCCTGAGAACAGTTTTCATAAATTGAGATGCAAAACACAGAGAAAACAGATGCTGCAAAATTGTGTAGAAATTAAAAATCAAGGGTAATGAGGGAAAACAACTACATGTGTGACTGAAGAGGTATCAGCCTAACTTGCAATGGAATGGACAGGGAACTGCTGTTTTGGTCTATCTGCAGTTGAGTCAGTATGCTACAATACTGTAAATGCTAAACATGCATAGGTGTATTTATAGCTAGATTAAAATATGTGTTAATGTGTTAGTTTAATTTTGTGACTGATAATCTCGCTCACACAAAATCTTGCACTAGAGCTTGTAATTATTTGCAGCAGCCACTGACCATAGCAGTGACTTAACACCAAAAAAGGATGTCACCAACTTGAAAAGAAGAACATAATATTTCATGGATTAACACTCAAACACCCACCTTATTCTACTGACATGCCATTTCCAAGTTAACTACTCACCACTCTCAAAGCAAGCATCAAAAACCAGATGTCCTTTTCGCGGCGCTCCTGTGTAACCTGGTGGGCTCACTGTCAGTTTGTTCACATTGCCCACCAAGGCGTCCTCTCCTCCAGTTTCACTGCCTGAGAAACAAGTGCAATAAGTAGTATTAAGATGAGTCTCATTTTATGCAAGAGTGTTGTGTAAAACTGTGTTAAGTAAACTAATCTAACTTTATTTTAAATAATGTAAGTTCTTAGCATGTAGAGGATTTTGTTTCAGGACTGAGCAGTAAAATAACATGTACTTTGGATTGTTACTGCAACGTCATTGTGATGGCGTCTCGTAAACCCATGAGGGTTGGGCACACGTAAGTATGCATGACACAAAATTAAATCAAATCAATCAAATCAATGTCGATAAATAAATTAGTTTCTCATACAGAGTAACAGTCCCAGATTGTTGCCACCACTAAACCCAACCAATAAATTAACAAATTATTAACAAATTATTTAAAAATATTGCTCCTTAGAAATGCTTATGTATACGTCACGTCTTTCTAACATCTTTTCCAGTTTTGTCGACTTTTAACAACAAGATTCTGCAATGCAAAATGGAGTAACACACATAAAGTATATTGAGGCTGATAGAAATCTTTATTTTTCAGTATGCAGCACAAATGAATAACATAGACAATGTTGCTTAAATGTGTCTTTGTTTACTGTTTTGCATAATAAGAAAAGAAAAAGCTACCATATATTTTATGGGTTTTTTTTCATAGATATTAGTTAAAGGCCCATACATTTCAACAGGGTTTAAATTTTGTTTCTTTTCATTTTATTGTGTGGTGAAGTGAACTGGTGGTGTGCAAATGAGACAGTAATGTCATTCTGATTGGTCTGTGGTATTATCTAATATTTTAATTGTGTTTACATTTTTATGAATTTGAATTTTTTTATGAATTTGTGGATTTTTTTTAAACAGTAGTTAAAAACGACTTAACTTGCAAACCAAAGATTACTTTGTATCATTGTCTTTTAATATCTTTGGTCATTTTGCAATGCAATTATGTGGCGCCGGTAGAAGCAGCATCTTCAAACTGACTGAAAAGCAGTATGCTTTACTCTAAGACAACATGCATGATGATTTGCACCTGCAAGTGTATGTATAGCATATTGAAGATGCAATAATTTGCCATATTTGAGGCATAAACACAGTAGTTTGGATTGTAGTAAATACTAATTGAAAAAAAAAAACAGTATGTGTGATCCTACACTGTTTTTACTCTGATGTGTACAAGCATGGTGAATATTATAGATGTAAAAACATTTTCTGCAGCAACAGAAAACATCACTTAAATCTTGTCCAGTAGTGGTCCTTGTATTTAAAGATATATCCATTAATTATTGGTTCAAATCTGTGTCTCATATTCACAGTGGTGCTTTGCATTTGTTGGCATTTATTTACGGATTATGACTTTAATTTAGAGGGTAACACAAGAACCATATTACAGCAGGACCGACAGCTAGCTTATTAGCTCCACAGCAGTTCACTCGGTAACACAGCTAGCTAGCAGATACACCTGCACTACTGCTCGCCCTGTCGAAATTAAATGGTTAACGTTGACATGCCGGCAGTTTGCTAAAGTATTTCCGTGACGTACACCGCCAGCATTCGGTCAGTTACACGCTTCGCTAACGTCTGTAGCAGCGACGCTAGCTCACAACAAGCTGGTGACATGACTCTTGTTTACATCCCTGTACATGCTAGCTAAAAGGTTAGCACACTTCACGTTAGCATCAATTTAAAGACGCGGAGCGAGCCCGAAATATTCAGCTAAAATATGTCTGACAGCTGGGCTTCGTCCGCGTCCCTCTGCTCGTAAAGAAGCGAAGAAGAAGCGAGGTAAGGCTCGTATTTACACACCAGTCTCGACGTCTCTAACAGTGTTCTCCTCCATCTTCCTTTCCATTCTGTTACAGAGCAGCCGACGCTCCATGTGTGTTGCCACGGCAACGGAGCGGGAGGACGAGGGAGAGGCGCTGCTGTCATCCACATCAGTGCACCGCTGCAGGCACACAGCAGTTCACACGGGCTGTGCATGGAGGTAAGATGAGACAAGTTGAATTATATGTAGTAAAAAAAAACAACAGAAAAATAACAAACAGAAAATAATAACAGGTGTCTGCAGTTAGATTTAAGTGCATGGATCATTAAATACAGCAAACAAATTCACCAAAACATGCAGAAATGCTGATCCTTAGTGTCTCAAGCGGTCAGGAAAACTTGTCTCAGACATATAACTCTGAGTTTTTCCTGTCTGAAAACCAGATTTCACAAACATCCCCCCAAATGTACTGAATTAACAGCTATAATAATTTGAAATACAATCTTCATAACCCAGTGTTCAGCATAGTTCACTTTCAGCATTCGCATTCTGCAGGCAACACTAAAACTATATGACTCCCATTACACTACCTCTAAACTTTAATCAGTACATTGTGCACACCTCAGTTTTATTACAGCCGTACCTGCATTTTAATGGTATTTTCAGAGAAGAAAGCCAATCATTGCAGGCAGCAGCCAGAGATTCTGAATTATCCTGCAGATTGATTAAAGCTGGAGGTTTTCTAGACAATTGGAGCATAGATGTCATCAAGGCCAATCAAGCCTGGCCCTATTCCTTTCCCATTACAAAGGCTGCACCTGATTAAGTACATCAAATGAGCAGTCGCACAGCTCCTGGAGCAAGAGGCATACAGGCTGCTGCTAATTTTCAGGTTATAAGCTATGTGTAACAGGACCAAATGAATAAGACCAGGGAGAGGGCAATGATTTTTCTCTCTGTGTGTGATCTGTATTTGATGGCAAGCATCAACAGGCCGCTGAGTAGATAGGTCGGACTGATTATTTCTCAGATGACAGGAAGAGAATACAGAGCTGCTGTGTAATATTTCGTTAAAATTGAAAATTGAATAGCTGTCCTCCATGCTATGTCATTCCTTTAACACTATGCCAATTAAAGAGCTCTATGGTGGTACAATCATTCATTTTCAAGAGGGAGATTGAAATTGAATTATGGGGCATGAGAAGAATGAATTAGATACGCTACATGTTTCCCTTGTTTCTCAGCTCTTATCAAATAGGGAGACTGTATAGGAGTGGTTGAATTTACTGCAAGATCCTGGCTTGTCTCTACCAGCGTAGATAAAACCCGATCTTATGGCTGAAACTCACATTTTGTTGTTGGCTTGTAAAAGACAGAATCTGAATAAGAAGATTATTTGCAATATTATTAGTTATGAGTGAAAATACATATCATGACAAGATCTGTCAGATATGTTATATTGTTAAATTAAAGGGACACCAATCTCAGAACCCATCAGCTATCAGTATGACGGCGATATAGTCTCTGAGAGCAGCGACCAGTATTTCAGTGGTTCTGGTGTATCCAGTGGATATAGGCGTAACAGGCATCCTCCATGCCAAGGCTGTTGAATGAAGGCTGGCTGGGAGTGTCATATTATATCTTTGGGATACAACACATGTGCAGTAAAGTCTGGTCAGCACTTGCCAAAAGACTCAGCTTGCGCACTATTATAGAACACAGGGAAGATTGATTTTTTTTTTTCACTGAACCTTCTCCAATTGGCCTTACGTCAGCATACATTTTTTCTGACATTACTGAAAAGATCTTTAATAGAAGACCATGAATAAATACTTTCATTTTGAAAACATTCTGTTGTGTAGTTTAGTTTATTTGCACATACATGTACAGAAAATACGGGAAAAAGAAATTAAAAGTTAAAACATTGTGCAGGAGAGGTTAGAACCCAAGCTTATGAAGAAACCTCCCCTATTAAATAACAACAGTCATATATATAAAAAGAAAAAGATAAAAATGAGGATTGCATAATTGAATGAGTTCCAGACTAAAAAACAATACAAAATTGTTGAAGATGTACAACAACAACAAAAAACACAAATTACAAATGAATCAATGAAGTGTTAAGTGTCTTTGCAAATTAGAGTCATTTTCAGATGTATTTTATTACGATAATGTAGATAATGATTGTAGAGTTATAGAGATTTCAGTGAATATTGATTATAAGAAGTTCGACGATATGAACGATAAAGGTCTTTAGAGTGTGTATGGTCTGCTATCCATTTGACCGTACCCAAAAAGTTCTCTCAGGCCGAGCACAACCAAGGAGCTAGACAGAGCAAACCCAAAGCCCCCAAATGAACACCATCCCTTTCTTTCTAGTGCCGTCTGCGGTAACCCTCCAACATCACAGCTCCAGTTACACTATACATGTGTCAAACCCCATCACTCCCATGGGTTCAAGGACTGTATCCCAGCCTTCATTTTATAGCCTTATTCCATGACTTGGTCATTGTTAACAGTCAGGCTAGCAACTTGAGACACAAGTATGGAGTTGGAGTTGGTTGCTTTTAAAGCAACATTATCCAACTTTTACTTGATTGATGAGTCTCATCAATAGCTCAGTCCATAGGGAATTGATTTGGGAACCGAGGAGTCACTAGTTCAACCAAGTATGGAGCATGGACTGGTAGCTGGAGAGGTTCCAGTTCACCTCCTGGGCACTGCTGAGGTGCCCTTGAGCAAGGCACTGAGCCCCCAACTGCTCAGGGTGCCAGTCCAAGGCAGCCCCCTCACTCTGACATCTCTCCATTTAATGGATGTTTAGGTCCTGTTTGTGCATGTGTGTGTATTTCGGGCCTGTGTGTTTATGACAGCAGAGTGCTTTGGGTCAGTAGTTGGACCAAACCACCAACCCAAAACATCACTGTTTGACAATTAGAGAACAAGACTCAACAGTCAGCTCGAAGTTGCTTTAAAAAAGCTAATAAAAGGGACGTCAGTGGTTTAGTGGATAGAGCAGGCGCCCCATGTACAAGGCTGTTGCCGCAGCGGCCCGGGTCCAATTCCAACTCACAGCCGTTTGCTGCATGTCATTCCCCCTCTCTCTCCCCACTTCACGCTCAGCTTTCCTATCAATTAAAGGCAAACATGCCCATAAAAATATCTTTAAAAAAAAAAAAAGCAAATAAAAAGCTAAATTGTGATCAGACAATAGCAGATGGGTTTTGAGGTTGCATTTCGGCCAGTGCGTTCTGCCGCTTTTGTTCTCCATATGGACTGTTTACCTGCATTCAACCAAAACCCACTCAGACATGAGTGGTTAAAATGACTCAGACTACAGTCAGACTACAAATGGAAACCAGAACTCTTCTGATGCCAAAATCTCATCCTATTGGCCACAGATCCTGCACTCATAGGCAGCTATAGAGATTAAAGGGCCCCCGAAATGAAGGTGACATTTTCTAAACAAAATAAAAAAATAAACACATTAATGTAAGTCTACTCATTACAAACACAATTAGATGTAATATATTGCTAAACAATACATGGTGTCTCATGTAGGAACTTGGCACAAAATGTCAGATTCAAATTTCACAACTCAAGAGTCTGTGGTGCTTTAATCGTGTTAAAATGTATGGGAGAATATTACAGCAAAGTCTTTTTTCTCGATGGCTTTCCTTTTCTTTAAAGCTCCATGTTCTATATTGGCGTGTTCTCCTTTAAAATATGTTTGAAGATCGAGAAAAAATAGCAACACTTTCAACAATAACCCCTCCACTCTCTGCCCAAGTAACACTCTGCATGCATACAATATGTTTTTGTCATGATGTCTGCAAAGTGCAGCAATGATTTAATGAACACATCCATCACTGAGAAACAGGATAACATAAAAGAGAAGAACAGTCCACATCGTGGTCTCTCAAATTTTAATTATCTCTCAGGAGAGTGTATTTTTACATGCTTATCAAAACATTTTTGACCTCTAATGATTTCCGAACATATGAATGTGCTTCACATGTAGACACTCCTGTCATGGTTTAACACAGGATGTACAGTAACATTAAGAAATTGTGGCTATTTTAAGCGTGGGTGGCTAGGACTCACAGCACCATCACAATCCCGTGCAGAACATGTCAGAAACCCCTTGGGGAAACAGTGGCTTTGGCACAGCAAAGGTATTTTTAAGCCTTGCTTTTCATTCTTTCAGAAAGATAGCTTTTCTTCTAAACTGTGAAATGATCAAATAAGTCGGTGCTTGTAGCTCAGTACCATAACTGAGAGAAAAAAAATCTTGTTTATGTTTCCAGCCTGAAGCTTGATGTGTGTGTATATATATGTGTGTGTGTGTGTGTGTGCTGGAGGAGCAAATCTATGTTTTTGTATTTGTATTCCAGCAAGTACAGGGAAACCCTTTTTACTGTGGCCAGTTAAGGACTTCCACACATAAAGTCCATCATCAATGAAGGAGGAAGTCATGCAAAAATCAAAACACAGGGCACAAGTGGCAGCGAGTCGGAGACGGGTGGTAGTGAGAGGCAGGGTGGGGAGTTTAAGGCGGGGGGGAGAGCGGAGACCAGCCGGCAGTACACAGAGAATCACTATGGTGACAGCAATCAGGGGGCTCAGGGGAGTGAGGCTTGGTCAGAGAGGAAGGCTTGAGAGGCAGCTGACTGAGGAATCAGCCCTCACTCTGGATGATTCAACTGACAGCTCCCCCCAGGGCTCTGCCGGACCAACCCTCCCCAGAGACCGCGGGCTTTACAGAACAGGGATGTGGCTAGCAGCCCTTTTTCTGAAGGGAAAGGAAAAACTGGAATGGAAGCCAAGGCAGCAAAACAGTGCCAAAATGCAGTGATGTCGTTGATGATACTTTCACATATCCTGCCCCTGATGTAAAAAGAGAAAATGTGCTAATTTAAAACACGTAAACAGCATTAGATGGCACATCCTCGATAAGTGCGAGTCTCTCTCCATATTTTTTCTCTTCCTGTTTTACATAAACACCCGCTCAAACTAACAGTTTGCTAACACTTCCTCTGCTTTGTACCTTGCCGTTACCCCCTCTCTCTCAGCCAGCCATTAATCGTCACCCTCTCTTCTCTCTTTATCCGTCACTTCCTCCGTCCCTCCATCCCTTTCTCCCTCCCTCCCCGCTACGCTGGACAGTGTCCACCTAAACAGATGGTTCAGTGTCAATAGGCTGCTATTAACTGGCCGCTCTCCCCACTCTGATCCAAGACAGCAAAAAAGCACATTCAAAGCACTGGGAATAAATCCTTTGGAGCCACGGTCTAAGACACCACTAAGATTAGCATTAGTGAAGATGATGGCGATACCAATCACTCTGTCGGCTTTATTTTCATAAAATATTAAGTCTTCTGTTATTTTCTCCTAAAAATAAGCTTCCATTTCATAAAGATTTTGACTTATCCACACTGTATGCAGATATAGAACGCAATGAGTCATATTCTCGAGTCTCTCAGGTGTTGCCGACTGAAAACCAAAAATGTAGTGAATCATATCCTTGGCACAAGTCTCCCTAATCTTTTTTTTTTTTTTTTTCCTTGTTTACTCGTTCCGTAGTTGGGATCTCCTGCCATGCCTGTGACTAGCTGCTTCGTCATCTCTGTGCCACACCCTGCCAAGGAAAAGGACAACCACCTGACCTTGATGCTCACATCAGCCCAACCCTCACTTTTTCCCTCCGCCGCCTATTACCGTGAGGTACCATTTATTCCTGCTCTCTTGAGGCGTCTTGATAGTGTACAGATTTTTATTGCATTCCATTGCTTTGCATGTAGCTGTCACAAAAAACACCTCCAAGGAAGTGCTGAATTATTTCCTCCCCCCCAGAAGTCTTTGATAGTCACTTGAATCCACAACCTGTTTTTGTAAGAGCCGTAATTAGATAACAAGACCGAACAATATTAGTCCTCACACACCCCTAACCAATCTGCTTATCCCCTGGCTGTAAGTTTGATATGGTCAGGGGAGTGAGAGCTGCTCTAAGTGCAAACACCCCTCTACCTGTGTGTTATAGACACACATGGGAAGAGGAGAAGAGAGGAAAATCTAAAAGATAGGAGTGGCACGGAGAGGAAGGGATGTGGTGGCGATGGTGTCGCTGTTGCTAGAACAGTCTTCCCACCTTGTGGTAGCACGGCGAACTGTAGCTGCATCAATGCGTGAGCAATGGGAGGAGAGAGAGTGATGCAGGGAGAGATGGAGTGAGCGAGGGAGGGGAGGAGAGCGAAGGAGCGAGCCAGAGGGAGTGATACAGAGAGAGAGAGAGAGAGAGAGAGCAAAAGGGAGGGGAGTTTAAACTAAGTGCTATGTTTTGGGACAGGCTAATCTGCTAGCGAGCAGTGTGAGGATCGGAGCGTATTGTGTGAGCCAGTGTGCGGGGGACAGATAAGGGAGCCAGCCAGCCCGCCAGCCCGACCCACCGACCCACCGACTGCCTGACTGCCTGTTTTAATGTGCTGACTCTGGGGAGATTTTAAAAAAAAAAAAAAAACAGCAGCGTATTGACTCCTTAGACGTGTGCGGAGACCCTGGGCACAAACACCACCACTACAGCCACAGCCGAGCAGAGGTGCATCAACAGACAGGGGGGAAGAAAGAAAAAAAAAAAGACAGAGCGCTGCAAATTCACAACTCCAAAAATCTGAAAATTAAAGAGGATTTTTTTATCCCCCTCTTTTTCCCAATTGATTTCATTTTTTCTTTCTTTTTTCTTTTTTGTGTTTTTCGGGACTGACTCCCAGCTGTACAGAAGAAGAAAAAGCGGAGCAAAGAACTGAAGAGAATCTGAAATATATATAAAAGAAGGACTGAACGAAAAAAAAAAAAAGCACCGAACCTGAACATGTTCGAAATAAGCCGAACACTCAACGCCGCTTTGTTGAGCAATGAGGTAAAGAGATTTGGATTTGCTTCTTTCTCCACACTTCACCTGTGTATGTCTGCTGCCAACCATTCTGTCATGTGTGTTATTGTATGTCCGTGCGTGTGCGTGTTTGTACACTTGTGTATGCTCATAGCCAGGAGACAGAGGGGATGATTGATAACAGCAGCTGTTTATTATATTTCCCTGCACGATAGTCGGTACGGAGAAAAAGGGACTGCTACGCTTCTCACGCTCATCCTGGCTTGTAATAATAAATGGAGAGCTAGTGCCTAGACTTTACATTCTCCTATTGTAACCAAAGCAAGGTAGCTATCAAACCCATCCAGCATAGGCTTGCTTGTGAAATTGCCCACCTGGGGCTAAAATTGTATCTGTGCCTTCATGTGCACGTACAGTATATCTGTAAGTACGAGTGTGTATGCCCGTATGTGTGTGTGTTCACACATGCATTTGTGTGAGAGCAAAGTGTTCTGTAATCCCCCTCTACCTCCTCTTTCTTCATGTCCCCCCCCCTCCCCCACCCCCTCCCCCCCCACCCCCACTCCCTCTTCTGTCCTTTACCATTCTCACCGTCCTTCCTACCTGCTGTTATCTGTTCTCCTTCCCTTCTCTCACACCGCTTCCCTCTCTCTCTTTTTTCCTCTCTCTCTTTCTCTCTCTCTCTCTCTCTCTCTCTCTCTCCTCCCCTCTCCTCCTGTGTCTGTGTATGAGTGTGTGTGTTCTGTGAGCAGCATCTCAAGATGATGGCGAGGTACGGGCAGCTCTCGGGACTAGCAGCCAGTGGCGTGGGCTCCGTCCCCGAGACGCACTCGCCGCTATTTCCCAGGGATCTCCTGTCATCGCCAGCCCAGATGGGCTACAGGTCACCCCTGGTAAGAGGATAGACAGACCAATATATCTCCATCTCTTTAATGAACACAGGCAAGCATCATAGTGAGAAGAGAAACAGGGAAAACAGAAGTGGTAGTTAGTGTGTGTGAATTTTCGGTGTGTGTGTGCGAGTGTGTGTGTGAGGAAAAGAGCAAAAGGGCAGAAAGAGAGCAAATCAATTGTGGGATTCTGCCTGTATCCCCAATGGATAGTATTAGTAAATATTTACATTGTTATGTTTGTTCAATTACGGACGCCTACTCTGTCTTTAGCCTCTGCCAGTCAGACTGTTATCAAGGGAATTTGAGGTGTTTATGTGTGCATGCATGTGTGAGTGTGTTTTTGTGTGGTTAGTATATTTTTTGTTTGTTCTATTTTGTGAATTCTGTTAGCATGTGTTATATTTACATTTAACATTTGCATTTGATGCTGAATCATCTTTCGTAGTAAATAGATAAATAGGCTCGAGCAGTACATGTACAATTCTACCATTTTGAACTTTATGCAACATCCTTAACAAGGAAAGATTTTTTCTTTTTCAACACCCTCAGGAGATGTACAGTTGTGCAAGATGACAGATTTCAAATGACATTTGATCATAACTATCCATCTAATTCAATTCCAATTAACATCTGACAAGTCACATTAGCAGAGGAAGCAGGGACGCAGCAGATAGATGGGATATTTTGCACTGGAGACAACATTACTCTGCCATTTACATAGAAAAGATGACTTCAAGGGGAAGGGAATGAGAGAGAAAAAGGGGCATGAGAAAACCCTGAGCGTTTAGGCAAAAGCGTTGTAAGAAAATCCCTGACTCGCCGCATTAAAGCGACATGAAGCTGTGGGTGTCTAATCCGCTGTGGGCTCTTCATTGGTTCGGCTCCCCTTCAAACTGGCTCAGATCCACACCCCAGAGCCTCCCGGAAGCCTTCATAACCCACTGTCATGCTGCTGACTGTACCCAGGGGTTTCCGTCAACTGTATGCAAATGCGCGGCGAGGATAAGCGGTGAAATACATTCCGTGAGGAGTTGGGCTTCAAAAATGTTTTTTTCAGTTTTGTTTTTTTTTTTTTTTTTTGCTTTGAATTCTTACACGAGTTCAAAGACGCCTGTCCAGTGTTTTGTTGTTATTATACGGCACACAGAATGACTGTGTTTTCCGCTGCCCGTTCAGACTCACAACAGTGTTATCTGCTGTTTGCATAAAGCTGCTGGACCATGAATTATTTGTTGAAACCAGTGGAACTAATTAGCTGAATTTATTATATAAATATGATTGACGTGTTAACATATTTTGATCTTATCGGCAGCGTATTAGATGGAATAACAGAATCTGAGGTGATTACTTAACAAGCCAATTCCAGGGTGGAACATGATCACCAGTTGTGTCGTTGTAAATGACATTATATTTAGTATAAGTGTGTATGAATAGGAGAAAACAGTGCAGGGAAAATGTATTCATGAGAGAATATGAGGGCTTTGTGATACATAGTTACATTTCTGGTAAAATGGCTTATTTTGTCATTTTGCGCATTTGTCATCAGTGTGATGCTGGTGATGAGGCATGTTTGGTGTGTGTGCTTGTGTACGTGTTTGAAAATGTGTGTATGTGTGCGCGTGCATGATTACCCTGGTTAAAAAAGACCATCGTTATAGTGATTAATGGTGCCTTCATTAAGCACAGCAAGATCATTTGCATACATTAGATAAATGTGCTGGAAGATTCTGGTGGCTTTGGTGTGTAAAGCCTCAAAAGCAGCATCGTATTTTTTCTACCTCCGTGATACCAAACAGAAATACAGTTCGACACCGGCAGCACAACGTTGCTGTGTATATCCAAAATGGGGTATATTTACTGTTTTAGAAAACACAGTCATTTCAGTGTGTTTTATAATATTACCATATAAAATTAAGGCACTATAGTGTATTTCATTTAATGCGCCGCTGCATTAAATGAGTGCCTTGATAAATAAGTAAATAGCTAAATGGTTTCGTCCTCCAACACACTATACGCCTGCAGCAAAGTTTACCATTACTTCCCCTGCTAACACTGTGTTCAGTTTGTTTCTAGCATTTTGTCTGTTCATGTTCTCAGTTGTGCATCTTTCAAGCTGCAGGACAGGGCATTTAAAAGAGCATTCAAAGAACCCAGGCACACCGAGGAGAGATTTATCCTGCACTTATTGAAATTTAGACTGATAGCCATTCTGTTTAAAAACGAGCATCCGCAGCATCAGTTTACAGCGTCAGGATGACCAGGCAGTCTCAGCCATGTCACCTTACTCACACAAAGCGGACAGGGCCAAAAGAACACGTGAGCAAAAACTGAACTGCAAATTATTCCATATTTCAGTCACCGAGATCTAATTTTCAAAAGCCCACATCTAAAAACCTGCAGTGCGCCGTGCTTCAGAGCTGAATGCTGTTAATTTGTAGAAAGCTCCACTGATTACCCACTGCAGGCAGCTGCCGTTCTCTATGTGACACTAGGTTTTGTTTGACAACTCCAATCTTTTCTGTTTTAACATTTAGTAACAAAAAAAAAAGGAAAAAAAAGGTAGCATTTCAAACCTGCCTGGAGAGGTTCATCATCACGACAACAACAAACAGGCAAAGGAGGAAGGAGGAGAGAGAAGGGGAGGGGTGGGGGGTGGGTGGGTGCATGGCACAGAAGCTGGCAAACGTGTGTAGCTACGGTATATTAGCAGCCAGGAGATAGTTAGAGGTCATCTCTATTTCATAACAATGATTAGCTCCTTCCATCTGCCGCTCGCTGCACTTCCCCTTTCCTTGATTGCTGTGTTCTCTATATCCAGGAAATTAGTTCATTTATGCTCCACAACCCCGCCGTCAGTGAGGCACAAACAGGTGCAGCAGACTGAACGACGCCACAGAGGGGAAAAGACGCTCAAAGAGAGAAAGGGAGATGGAGAGATGTGCAAAAATACAGCATCGACAATAACAACAGTGCCAAGCACAATGGTGGCTGATCAATGCAGGACTGGCAACAACAAATGTGGCTGCTTTATTACATTTTAACATGAATCATTAAGCGATCCGACAAAATCTTAGGATTTAAAAGTGCAAACAAGGACAGGCCAAACTGTATCCTTTATATCATTTTATCCTTTTCCTTTTTGTCTGCATTCACAGCAGCACATAATATGGAGGTTTGATGTACTGCAGTGTTCAGGAAAGCGTTTTAGCTATAGGGTAGTAGAAGAAAAAAAAAAAGACATGCCATTCAGCCATATCATCCCTATAGCATAAATCAGACAGCAGGTTACGACTGCACCGTGTCATAGAATTTGCATGCGACATCATACGAACACAGACTGCGCAGCTTTGTGCGCGTGTGTACACCATGTCATGTTTGCACTTGATATGAGCACATGTGGTGTGTCAGTTACGAGGAACACAGAGAGGCTGAGAGACGCTGGGAGGGGGGCCTAGAGGGTTCCGATTTGTTGGAGAGCTGCGTGTGTGTGTGTATGAGTTTGTGTGTTCGTGTGCTGGCCACCAGTACTGCAGGGAGGGCCTAGAGATCAGCAGCTGAGCCTGTGTCCCGCTGGGAGCCATCACTGCAGAATGGAGCAGGTGTCTGCAGGCTCATGCACAGACACACACACACACACACACACACACACACACACACTGTAAAGCTAAGTGAACTCTCTCTCCCTCCATCGCTCTCTTTCTCCTCACTGTCTGCGTCTCTCTGTGAGGTTTTTTTTGTTGTGCACACCCTACCCGATACATCCACCCAATTTAGCCCGTCCGCAGGGTGCCTGTTAATGTGTATTTCATTACACATTACCATGTTTTTGATCATTACCTATTTTTCAAACCCATCGACTCGCTAGATAAGACAATGGATGTGATCCATAAACAATAATCTAACAACAGAATACTGCAGCAACACAAGCGCCCACGCCCAACCAAAGGTCACCTTTCCGTGTTTAGGTACTCTGACCTGGAAGTAATAACCTGTAATTTCAGCGACATAATGGCAGTGGCAGGGCCCAGTGCTTCTGAGTAGAGTCTGTGTCTTGATGCTCATGACAAAACAGCAGTAACACACCAACCATGTCACTTCAACAAACAAACGCTGAGTGATTTTTATAGAGGTGAGTGAGGAGCACAACCCAAAATCCAAAAGTAAACAAAAGGGGGTCGTCGCCACTGCTGAAAATCAAAGCAGAAGATTTAACTTGTTATTATTCTCACAGTGATTGACGGGGCGTTTAAGACATGGATTACCATAATTTCATCTAAACTGTTCGAGTTTTCTGATCTTGATAAACACAGCAATGAAGCGACTGATGTTTTTAATTATAATCTGTGGAGAAATAAACAAAAGGGTCACAGTCTCTGATGATATATGTAATAAATCACAATAATATTTATGTGCTAAAGAAACAGACATTGGCCTTGAGGTAATAAATATAGAAAAATAGAAAACACAATCTTGCAGGCACACATAATTATGACAGTTTATATCGTGGTGGATTATATGTATATCCATAGTGGGCCTGAATTCTACAGGGGATTTACCTCAAATCGTTGGCCACATTTGTACACTTGAATAGGTTGAATAAACAAAATAATCTCACTTCCTGCTGTTAATTTTTTTTTCTTCAATTCAAGAAAGAAAAAAAATCTCTGGCCTGCTCTTTTGCTTGGTAGAGGGAAAAAGCATTTAATTTCAGAGACAAATTTGTTGCCTCTCGTGGACAATGTTTTCACATCCAGTTGCAGTTATTTCATTCGGCTTAAAAGGATAAATACAGAGAGTGAATAATGAAACAGACAAGGCTGGAGAGAAAGCAGCATTGTGTTTTCAAATTTGGTGCGCTCTTCCCATTTCGTTATTTGCAAACAAACATTAGCAATTATTGTGGGAAAACGGGAAAAAAAGAAATGCCTCAGCTAGAAGTCGACAGTGAAGTCAAATTCCGAGGCCTTCGGCTAAATCTAATGTCAATTTATGCCCATGTA